TAGGCAGCATGAGTTTTTCTTATGATTTTTGATGCCCCTGCAAATCCGAATTTATTTTATGGAATATACGCCCATGGAATATTCTTCTTCTACTCATTTGGTGGTAAATGACGTCTACTGCAAATTTTTCTACTTAAAGAAAAACTGTCATCCAGCCCATAAATCTTTTCTAATTTCCGAATTTTTTCCCACCTGCCATTATATCTGCATTCAGGGTTTCCAAGTTACATGCGGTACATATTCCGTCAAAGAAATATCACTAATTTCGCCGCACTTCTGGAAAGACGAGAGGTAGCCTTCATGGAATTGTGCAAAGAATTGAAACTTCTTTTAAGCATATATATACCCTTTATTTAAGCAGACAACTTGGAAAGGGTGTAATTTTCTACCAAATGAATAAAAAAGAGAATATTTCTGTGCACGTTTTTTGTTAAATGTAATTGAACACATAAGGATGTCGAAAATCGATTGGAAAAACCATACCACCAGAGTAGTGAATTTTCGCAAAATAGTCTTTACAGACGACCGAAAGGAAGCTCATTCAAAAGCCTGCATACTGGGGTGACTGAAATATTTTACAATTATGCTGCAGGATGATCGTCCGTACAACTTCACGTAAATAATCTTTTTAAATCAAAAACCATCAGCAATCGGTCATACAACAATAGCTACTTTGGATAGCCCGGGATTCGAACCTCAAATTTCTGGTCATATAGCATAAAGTCCACCTTTTGTCCAACAGTCTTAAGTTTTATTGCCCTGCGGGTCTGTTGAAAAAGATTCGCCTTTTTTAGTTGATGGGCTGCCTTCTTGTTCTTGAATGTCGAGTACCGTAATTAAAACATCAGGTCAAATCCGTCAACACAATGCAAAAAAGTCAGACTCTTTTGGCAGGTTAAAGACCAACAACTGTGCTACATTCGACATTGCAACAGTATAAACCAAAATTGAGCAGGAAATTATAATTAGGCACAGAATGAGTAGATTGGCAAGGTTGACCGACCTGAGGGGTGAGGATTTAAAAAGGAGGAAAGAATCGCTGGAAAGGATTAAGTGAACTGTCACTTCGGAGATCTTGGTTGACTAACCATTACCGCCAGGCCGATCAGTTTCACAGGGACCCAAACACCCTCCAACGAGTCGATGACCCGTAAAGCACACAACAGTCGAAACCCGTCAAACACCCGCCCAAGAGGCCAAAGCAGCGAAAGCAGAAGAATATCGGTCAGCCCAAGGACGACAACCTCCGCACGTCATTTACATTTCTGTCTGGCTTTGTGCCTTTACCACTTAGACAGTGTTCAACCTGCCAATCTTTTTGCAATGCCAGCAGTTGAGTAAATCTGGCCTGGTAAGCCCATCTTATCCTTCAGGCAGAACGACTGACTTCGGAGTTAGAATTACCTTTAACCTTCTATATGAGTCATTCCAGTTCTGAAAGAGAGCCGCTTGTTTTGGCAACTTCTGCGTGGGCTCCAAAAACGTGTTTGAGTTAGCCCATCTTTTGATCGTAGTTCCTCCTAACTTTCACTTTGCTGCGGGTAACTATTTGATAATTTCTCTCTTCAGATTCAACGAAGCTGATGCAATACCAAACGTCGAAGGACGTGGAGATACTTTCCTCCGCGTCGGGGGGGGGACGGCCTACCATGCGCTGCTTAGTTTTAACTTGCAGTGTCGCCCCTGGGCCGCGTTTGAGTGGTGGCATGTCACTCTCCTTCACACACTCTTCGGCACGTCACCAGATGATTAGCTGTATGTACGATTTCGATCCAAGTACAGTTCTTTCCGTTTGAAGTGCAAATTACTCCATCAATGCGGAAGTTTGCGAAAATGCTGGAAGTTTACAATTCGGTCGTTGAAATCGAAGTCATCGAAATTGACTACGAGGTGCAAAGTTTGGGGTTTGAATACATTGCGGACTTGGAAAGCAGGCGCAAAATGCCAATTCTTCAAATTTTGCATCCGTATGCGTTAAACTCAACTAAAGTTTTCTATTTATGGCCTAGCAGGTATGTTGTGCAGACTCATGTTATCGAAACTATGCTGTGCAATGAAAAAAATGTGCGGTGTAGCGGATGCCAATGTACACAGCTTAGTTGAACTTTGCTGCTAAATAGTACAGATCACACGAGCGAGCATTTTAAAGACATAAGCCCGAAGGTGCTCTAACGCAAACTGTAGCACGTAGATTGTTTCTTCATTCCCCGGCAACAACTTATAACGAAGAGTACTTTAATAAATTCCAATACTATCCAAGTCATGCATGCAGTCCAAATGATTTTTCTCTAATAAAGATGACGTTCGAATTTCTGGTGTACCTGTGAGTAAGAAGGAAAATAACTGGTCGAGTATGGGAAAACTTTGCTTATTTTTCACTTGTCTAGCAGTTGCTTGGTGGAAAAATGAAGTCGTAAGACTCAATTCCCGGAATCCTTTTCTTTTTAAAAAAAGTCTGGAAAATGCACACTTTGCGCATCTATTGGGATATAGGTAATATATATCTCGAGAAGGGCGTTCGCCGATCGCGTCACAGAACAAATTTGCATGCACATACTCATATAGTCAACTCCAACATCACTTTCTATCGTCATTACCTCAATATATACTTATGTGCAGGTCTTTCCATGTGAAGTGCAAATTACTCTATCAATGCAGAATTTTGCGAAAATGATGGAAGTTTATAATTCGGTCGCTGAAATCGAACTCATGAAAATTGATTACGAGGTGCAAAGTTTAGGGTGTGAAAACACTGTGGATTTGAAAAGCAGGCGCAAATGCAAATTCTTCAATTTTGTGCATCCAAATGTGTTTAACTCAGCTAAAGTGTTCGATTTATGTCGTAGCGGGTATGTAGTGCAGACTCATATTATCGAGAAGATGCTGTTCTTTGTAAAGATATCCGGTTTAGCGGATGCAATAAACACAGCTTATTTGAACTTTGTTGCTAAATAGTGCAGATCATACAAGCGAGAATTTTAAAGACATAAGCCCGAAAATGCTCTAACCGAAACTGTAACACGTAGGTTGTTTCCTCATTCCTCGACAGCAACTTATAACGAAGAGTACTTTAATAAAGCTCAATACTATCTAAGGTATGTATACAGTCCACATTATTTTTCGCTAATAAGGACGATGTTCGAATTTCTGGCATACTTGTGAGTAAGGGAGAAAAAAACTGGTCGAGTATGGGAACATATTGCTTATTTTTTCATTTGTCTCGCAGGTGTTTGGTGGAAAAATGAAATTGTAAGATCAGTTCCCGGAATCATTTTTTTTGAAAAAAATCTAGAAAATGTACACTTTGCGCAACTATTGGGATATAGGTAATATATATTTCGAGAAGGGCATCGTCGATCGCGTCACAGAACTAATTCGTATGCACATACTCATATATTCAACTCTTACATCACATTCTATCGTCATTACTTCAATATATATGGGCATTCCACTGTTTAGATGTTTCGTTTTTGTGCAACGAAAGTTCTTGCAGATTTCATGATAATTTTAATCATCCTGAGATAATATTGTTACCTTTTTAGAACAAAACAATAAACAATATTTAGGTGTGCTAAGGGAGTATGTGAGCCGATGAATGAGGAAAAACAAGGACGTATAATAAAGTATTTCTATTAAGAGCACAATAATGCAACGTCCAAGTTGGAAGAAGCGTAATATTTTTGGGAGTCCTCAACGTGACTTCAAAAATATCCGGACCTCACAATTAACCTGAGATTATTTTACATGCTATTTGGTAGTGAAGGTCAAATTGCAGTATGTCCGTTTGCATACATGCACACCGTTGTTTTTAACTTTTAGACTGAGAGTTGTGTCTTCTTCTGACTGTATCGCAGGAAATAAAACGACATTAAAATAGCACAGGCGGAGAGCAGGTTCCATTAGGGAAATCTAGCCAGGTAACTTACCAGAGGCGTTTTCGTATCCATGTCCATCTGCAAAAATAGGGGTCCAGGCAGGGGTGGGCAGAGGTGGATATTAGAACCAGCGACGGGACTAATAACGGTCCGAGTAGTCCTCTGACACTGCCGGGGCGGATGAACCGGCCGTAGTCGTTGCTGTCCTCGTTGATCACTACTCGTGTCGCCATCGCTGCTATCAGGGCTGCTGAAGTTACTGCTGTTAGGGATGTTGCCACTGTAGCTGCTACTGCTGCTGCCGTTGCTGCTGCTACTCTCCAAACAACTGCTGCTCAGAGCGAGCGATGGCAAAGGACAATGACTGGGTGGGATTGAGGGTAGATAGTTGCGAGGCCGGTTGGACCGAATTATCGGGGAAACGGGGCTACAGTCTGCGCGCGCTCTGCTACTGTCGCGATGGACATAACCAGCAGGTTTGAAGACAGAGGTCTCTGTTACAGTCTTTTTAGGTCTGCTTTCCCTGCGTTTAGTGGCTCGAACTGTGGGTGGCTGAAGAGAAGAAGGCAGCATTGCCTGCAAACGGTCCTGTCGTATCACATAGTAGCAAGACGGCGGGACTCGAAGTAGGTACCATCCTGTCAGACAGTGGCCGGCAGAGAGGGCGGCGGCAGCTGCAAGGAAGAACTGAGCGCCGAGTAGAAGCCCATATAACTACGGGGAGGGCGCACAAGTACGCCCTCGCTCTCTCTCACATACACGCACACGCAAACACACACAAGTTCTTTTCTCCTCCCCTTCTTCCTCTCCTTTCTCCTCTTCAGAACAGTGATTTTTGTAGCGGTTTTCGTTGTCCTCCGCGTGATGTGGTCACGCGTGGATGGGATTACCACAGTACTCACGCACAATCTGAAGGGCGTTAAGGCAAAGCATGGCACACGCGTGCAGTGACAATTGTTGATTCTCTCCCAACCCGTCTCTCGCTCTCTCGCTTGCTCTTTCTCCCTCCTCTCTCGCTCTCACATTGTCGTCAACGCCCGCTTTGCTCACGCCCGCAATTTACGCCTGCCTCTGGCGGGCACACTTAAACTGCCGGGCGCGGATTGGTTGGCATGAGCATTCCGAATGCTGATTGGTTCCTACGGTTGGGCGTACTCAGGCATGCACGCGCGCTCATCCACACGTCATAGGATGTGGTATAAAAAGTCTGCAAGCAAGGCCCACAGGCACACTTGATAATACGCGCTGCGGCTACGGTGGGCAGGCCTCAGGCCACGGTATGTCAACTAGCATAATAATGCGTTTTCCGTTGCCATCCTAGTAAGGCGGAAATCCCGCGTCGCTAGGAGAAAACAAAAGTCTACGCAGTTAAAACACAAAATAAGGCGCCATCACATAGTGACTGCCCTAACTTCGAATTTATTCTCCTTCCCGAAGGCGGCCAGCGTTACGAGAAATTGGTGGCAACTTCAGAGGTAAAAGGCCAGACGTTCAAGTCCACGGCAGGGATTGGCTGTTCGTCCTAGGTGAATGGAGCCCTCAAGAGCCTTTTTGCAATATTTTGGGCACTCAAACACCTGCCTCAAGAAACCAGGTGGCCTTAAACTTCGCGCACATGCATGCCTGTTTTATCATTCCCTTGAGCATTAATGAAGGAAACTTACGTTAAAACCTTGTTTCCCTGAAACTACGGGATAAACATAGTTCAGTTGTATGGACTTCATCGAATGCATGCTGAATATACGGTAAAGTAACCTGGGATTCATAATTCGTTTACATGATTGGGCTTTCGATGGGCGGGTTGAGTGCTGACAAGACTAGATTTAAATTTTCCCTTGCGTAAGTCAGCAGTTAGGGCAACTGCACTCAGATATGGGCATCGAAGCTTCCCTAAAAGGCTGTGCGCATAGCGAAGGCCGAAAACAGTGTGAGTGCAATAGGTGTTGTGCAAGCCTGACTCTCTGTGGACCACATCAAACACAAGTCATCGCTGCTGCATCCATTCTGTGGGGTACGCGGTAAACGTCGGCAACCGCAACACTTTAAATGTAATCCTATAGCGCGATTTTCGGAGTGATACCAAAAAGCACTTGAAGTCAGGATATGAAGAAGCCTACTTTAGTTCTAAGAGAACAGATGTAAAGAAGGATTAGATCACGGACAAGTTAACTTACTTCCAGTTTCCAAACCGACAATACGCAAGGAATGTCGATATTTAAAAAAAGTAAGTGGAAGGTTTACAAAATACATGAGCTGACGTTGGTCAGGAAGTATCTATACATTCACCAAGATATTTGGTAAGCCAGAAATCGGTCTGTCTGGTTTAATTCTGACGCATCAAGAGCAACTAATAAACATTGGGTGAATCAAGGTACAGAAAGAATATTAAAGCTAATATAAGGTGAGACATTATTATGCTTAAAATTGGAAACTCTGAAAACTCAAAAACGTAAACCAATTTGGAAAACTCAGTCTGTCTATGTAAGCAGTGCATGTCCTTGTAAAGAAGTGAGTAAATAAAATGGCACATTTTCAGTACAGTTCATGTGTCTGCTGCGGTTAAGTGAAGTCTTAGAGGTGGAATAATGTGCAGTATGGCAGCCAGGCTTCCACGTGATAAATGGCTTATTTTTCAAAATGACATTATTCATTTCTTTTGTTTATTGCATTGTTCGGTATGAGGTTCACTGCTACGACAATGATCTTGCTTGAGGTCATTTGTAGGCACGTCGCAAAGACAGAGTTTTCGAAGGTCATACGCCGAGAAGCTGCTTAGTCTGTAAGAGCTCAAAATGAAATCATTCGGTTCAACCAACTTCTTTCTACCAACGAGGTTGTTTCGCAGCAGAATTACCATGTGCTTTCGGACAACCGTGGATTTCAGCCTGTCTTCATTTTTATTGAAATATCAGTAAACATTCCCGTTTCTACTGTTCTATATTTAATTCCCAAATGGCAGACTTTGCAGTTTATGGTTATCAAAATTTTCACTATAAGCAGGATCTTCAAGGCCTGTATGCATGAGGCGATTTCTTGGGTGTTATTACTGCAGTTATTAGTTTGGTTAGTATGTCACCGTAAGCAAAAAACTTAACTCTAGAATTGAGCGAACACCTACAACGAAGATAATCGATACCTATGCCCTTTACCAACGTAAAATCCATCTTTGAGAAGTTTTTTAGGATACTTCTTAAAAGAAGAAAAATATTTTTCATGTTTTTTGCCACAAAACCAGAAGGTACTATTTTAACAGCACAGATACTGGCTGAAAGTCCAGACACACGTGTTTCTGAAGTATGTACCGGACAGCACAAGGTGTCTGCTAGGAAATCCGATGAAGGGTCAAACTCCTCGCAGTTGTGCGACTCAACGGCAGAATATCGGCGAAGTCCGCGTACTTAGGCTTTTAAGCGGTTTCTGTGCTGTTGGTATGATATCTTTTAAAGTTAAACCATTCAATTTCAAGTTCGCGAGACCTCCTTTGGTAGCAGGCCTTATTTACTTCAGAGCCCTCTGCAAGTAAAAGACAGGTAATTGTGCAACACTGTCCAAAATAATTATTAGTATAGCTGACGTACTGGAAAAAGAAATGAGTTGGTTTGTGTCCCGACATTTCAAAGTTTTGCTAAGTCGATTTCTAATAAATATGCTCGATTGAGAGGACTGACTTGTTTCTGTCATGGTAGATTGGTACTTTTAATTAAATGCTACTACTGACACATGTTTGGCGAGAAAAGACATCTTACCTAAATATTTTGGAAAGGATTAGGCTCAGCATTAAATCAGTCAACCTAAATTTTCCCTGATAATTACCGGTCCTTTAACTACACTTGCATCTAAGCGTGTCCTTCTCTTTCCTATATCACTTTTTATAGTCAAGGCTTTTCTTCGATTAGTCTGCTTGTACTTATAACGCTGATGTTTTCGTATTAATTTTCTGAGCAAATTTGTCCTCCTGTATATTCCTTAATTGTTATCTACAATATGCAGCAACAGGTAACATTTTATAATCTGCCGCGAAATTTATTGGGACCATGAAACCCTGCTGTGTACGTCTATTTTAATTTCATACCGGGACTGAATGCTTCAAATAACCGGCCAAGCGAGACCACTCTAAGTGCTCATACCATACTGCCATATGACTCTTAGATCACATTTTGTAGCAAGAGAATGACAGTGATAAACATGTAAATGTTGGGCGACGCAAATATTTGTACCAGCATCTGACCGATTCTCGTCATTGCAAAATCGTAGGCTAGATTTCCCGATTATGGGGTAACTGACCCATCTTAAAAAATGTTAGCCGAGATTCTGAAACGTCTTTTCGTTGCCATTACATGATCCCCATGGAGCATAATACAGAGCGATTTCAGCTCCGCAGGTTTACCAACATTTTACGGAACTACTTTCCTCTCGCCCGCGAAAACCACAATAATGCAAAACAGCCACGTAAACAGTTCTTATATTTCACATTGATTTTTAGCATCCTTGCAGAATCATGTGTATTTTAGGGAAAATATGCATATGATAATCTTTCAAAAGGTTTATAATTGAAAAAAGGGTACCTTGCAGTTTCAAAAGACGTTTTCAGCTCCAGAATAATTTTGGATAGGATAAGCAGCTGTGCTTGCATGCTTCTCGCCTAAAGAAAATCGCGCATTTCTTTGGAGTATGAAAAAGTAAACGGCCGTAATGTAAGCTTCCCGAGCACAGTTTTAAATGGGCATATGCGACACCGTATGCATCAAAATCTCATAAATATAAACTTACTGAAACCGAAAAGTGCTCTTGTTTCGAATGCAAAATTTAGCACAGACGTCTTCTGTTACAATATGGGCACAGAAGTGAATATTTTGTGCGCGCATATTTCAGTTTATAAAAGCACCGAAAATAAATGGGAAAAGACTAATACAACTTGACGGGACACTTTTACCGCGTGCGATTTTACATACGACCGGGAAACAGCTCGTTTACAAGCCGGTACCCTGAGTGAGGGAAATATCGTTGAATCAGACTGCCCTATGATCAATATCGCATCTTAACCAAAGGAATCCTCTCTAATCGAAAACACGTTTCAAAATTTCGGCTAACTTTGTTTGTTGGTGAAAATACTCTAAGAAGGAGACTGTTCTTCAAACTGAGATCTTATTTTAAGAAATATCAACGATATTAGGTTAGACAAATGGTTGAAGCCAAGAGAAACAGTGAAAACCCTTCTGACTACTCATGAAAAGGCCATTATTCAAAAGGGCACACCGAAACAGGGTGAAAGCTTGCTAATGAAGTTAGAGATAATCTTTAACTATCACAGTATTGGCATGCTCGACATATAAGCAATGTTTGAGCTATCTCAGCTTACAGAAACTGAAGCGAAAATGGGTGTGAAGATAAGATGAAACACTGAAACACCCTATAGTTATTAGGAAGTGGGACAGACTTCTGAACAAGGAAAAAAACATGATCGAGAAAGAAAAAGACTACGATTTCTCTTCTTGACTGAGCTTTTGGACTCCTATAGGAGTCCAATGCCAGGGGTAAATCGGCCGCAGAACAACCAACAGTTATAGGGACTACTAGCCAATCTAACTTCAACAACGCAGGCCTGGACGTGACTGCGTAAAGCCCTGTAGGCCACAGACGCCAAAAAGCAAGACGAGGCGAGAATTGATTACAGCGTTGTCCTCAGATGAGAACTCAGCCAGTCGACGTATCGATCTGACGCTGGAATACAATACCCACACGCAGTCACCGCCAGACCACGGTCACTGCTGGTTACTTGCTAATATCCCCTATAATTGTTGCTTGTTTCGCAGCCATTTTTATTTCTGGCGATGGACCCCTGCACGAGTTGGAAACATCCGAGAAATAAATAAATGCTTCTATAAACCATACAGTCTACCTCTTCCCTAATTATACGTTTTTGGAAATTACAGCAAGGGACAAAACAGAAGACCGCCGGTTTTTAGAGATTGCAATTGCACTGCTCAACGAAGTGGAATTAGTAAATGGGAAAGAACACGCATTTATCTGAAAACGGGTTGTCTGCGTAGATTTGATTACGCGGAGTTTGGAAGAAACATGAAGTCAAGCTTCAGTTTGCCCGATTTTGTCTTAGAATATCGTTTTTATTCTACATTAACGTTGCCAACTAAATAAACAAACAGACGCCGACTAGGATAGTTGTTAGCATGAGAGCCTACGTTGAAATAAACCAGAGTTGATTTCCGTCCCAAATTACAACTTTTTTTACTAAGAAGACAACGTATAAAAAACAACAACAACGTATGAAAATAAGTTTTTTTCTTCTGAACGCGTTTAGCTTATGCGTACAACGGACAGCGTCCGAGGTCCTCTGGACTGATCGTCAAGACTTCCTTCGTCAAGTTCCATCTTGTTAGTCATCTGGTGTGCACGTGGCAACTTTTTCATCTGATGTCCTCAATTTTTAATTTAATTAAGAAAAGTTAAGACGTAGGGCG